TGCTGAGCCAGCTCGTTGCAGTTGAGGCAGGTCGCAGGAATTTCCCAATGTGTTAAATTGCCAGGTTCAGTCCCCACTGATTACTTTAGTACTAGATATGGTACCTCTGAAAAAGCCCAAGGTGACTGTCAAAACATACCCCTGATGAAATTGAGCCAGCTACATGTTTTGAGCTAGCTCGAAAAAATGGAAGATTGTAAATTCCACCATTCAAGTTTGTTTGTTTCACACCCCTATCTGGTAGTTTATGCCAGCGGACCGAAGACTGTGCTCGTAAAACGCGCGTTTTTGCTAGCGTGTGTTCGCAGGTCATGCAGGGGGCATGTTAACGTTCCTTGTACTTCTTCCGCTAAATGTTGCTACGCTGCACAGATGTCTGGTAGTGTTGCTTCGCTGTATACATGAAGGGGTCGGGTGGGGGGGGGGCCTGTTAACGCTCCTTGTACTTCATCCCCAACTCGTTGCGTTCAAAGAGCAAAGATCTTGTCCTCTATGAAGTGCTGGCAGTGGAGATATACGAATCTGCATACCCATCTCCAGCAAAAAACAATTTCAACGCTGAAGCACCTGCTTTCAAAAGAAAGAAAGAAAAAACCTGTCAACATGCCCCAATGAAATTAATCCAAAACCCACACGAAACGCGAATTCTGCCAAATTCTCCACAATTCGGCTTGCAGAAATGTCTGTTTCGCTATGGCGAAAAAAGATTTTTTTTTAGAACGCGTTGCTTTTACGAGCACGGTTTCCGGTCCGCCGGTTTTTTTAAATGGATGTACTATATATATATATATATGTAAACATATTTGTGAAATTCATTTTTAATATACTTCTCACAAAATGTATTCCATATGTATCATCAATTGCCATTCGATCAATCTCGAGTTTTACCAAATTCAAAGCAGTGTAGCACATGAAAGCAAATCTCGAATCTAGCGGGTACAGTACTCAGTAGGTGAAAGCCATCTGCACCTGTTGAAAGTTCCCATTGACGCGGCGTAGTGTCTGTAGGACCTCAACACCGCACATTTCAAAGTAGTTTATAGATGGAAAGTCACCTGAAACATTCTGCAACTGGTGAAGACTGTTGCTATTGTTACTTAACTTTACTGGAGGATAACTTATCAAGCCATAGTGTTCTAATATCATCACGGCAGCACTGGCACATTCTGTTGGTAGAGTTGTGGCATCCAGCTTGTGCTTAGAGGAGCTTTGGCTGTCACGCTCTGCTTGTCAGGGTTTCCAGTTGCATCTCGGATCCAGTCTACAGGAACAATCCTTAATTACAGCAAATAAGATACACACACATATATATAAGTGTTTGTAACTAAGTCAATAGCAAAATGAAATAATAAATAGTAAGATATAGCAGCGCATGTCGATATATAAAATATATAGTAATAAAAAACCTAAAAGGTATTAACATACAATAGCAAAACTATTAAAATATAATAAGATACCATAGTATACGGAAAAACATGTGAAAGTATGTAGTACTACGTTAAACTATGCCGAGAAGAGACCCCAAACAGTGTGTCTGTGTGTGAAGATAATGTGTATGTTGATGATCATGATGATGATGATGATGAGGATGAGGATGATGATGCGGAAAATGATAATGTTGCAAACGATGATGTTGATCGTTGAGGATGATGGTGTTGAGGATGATGAGCGGCGATGATGATGTTGAGGATGAGGATGAAAAGGATGACAACGTTGCGGAAGATGAGGTGGGTGATGATGATGACGACGATGATGATGACGATGATGATGTTGCGGAAGATGAGGTGGGGGATGATGATGTTGAGGAGGAGGATGAAAAGGTTTATGCGGACGATGCGGTAGAGGATGATGATACTGCGGAAGATGGGGTAGAGGATGATGATGTTGAGGATGATGGTGTCAAGGGGGAGGAAGATGATGATGTTGAGGAGGAGGAGGAAGATGATGATGTTGAGGATGATGATGTGGAGAAGGAGGACCGATCCCAAGACCGTGACCCACAGTTTGTGCGAGCCCGCGGCGCAGTCTGGACATTTTAGAAGAGCCACTTTACGCGAGAATTTACAGGAAACATGTCGCACGTTTTGTGCGAGCCGGCGCGCGCAGTCGACATGCAAATGGATCGACATTGTCACAAGAGCCATTTTATGCGAGAATTTACACGAAAAATGCCGCACCCCAGAAGTTAGCCGCGCGTGTTGTGCTAGCCCGCACGGTCGACATGTACCTGGACATGCCACACGAGCCATTTTATGCAGAAATTTACAGGTAAAAGGCCACAGGCCAAGAGCAGGCAAAACTCGCGGCGCAGACTTTGCGCGGGCTTGCGCAGTCGAAACGCACATGGACATCTCACAAGCTCCATTTATGCGGAAATTTACAAGGAAAATGCCAGGGGCCCAGAGTGCCTCGATCAAGCACCAGCCTTGACTCTGGTACCGGAAGATCCCCTCAGTGTGGACACACTGCTTGGGGAAAAATGCTAATAATATTTTTTTTTAAGGGAGGGAAGTTTAGAAGTCAAACTTCCGACGATATGGACAGATGAAAAGCACAGGTGGGAAGAGTCAGAGAAGAAAGGAAGAGGAAAGAAGATCAGAGAAGAGAAAGGCAGAAGAAAGACGATCAAGGTATGCGAAAAGGTAGGAAAGTCGCGAGACACTGTGTTTTGCCAACGTTTTGTGGCCCCCGAGGGTCGAAAAGTAGGCTTGCTAAAGCGGCGGGTGCGGAGCCATCTGGGCAGATGAAGGATCAACAATTGCAAGCCGTTGTGGCGCGAAGCAGCTTTCGCAGTCAAAATCTCAAAAGCACCTCATGCTCGGAGCACATCGGGACGTTGAGATGCGAAGCAGATTTGAAAGTCAAAATGTCCAAATCACCACATGTTCGGTGCACTTTTGGAAGTTGAGATGTTGAAAAAACGTGCCATTGTGGCGCGAAGCACATTTCGAAGTCAAAAGTGTTAAAAAATGACGGGACACTTTTGGAAGTTGCAATGTTGAACAGGTGCACGCCATTGTGGCACGAAGCACGTTTCGAAGTAAACATTGTAAAAAAAAACGCATGCTCGGACCACTTTTGGAGGTTCGGATGTGGGAAAAGCACCACATGTTCGGATCATTTTTGGATGTTCAACCT